CACCGTTTACAGTTGGTACAAGAACGTGTTGATTTGCAACGAGAAGTGTGGGTCTTTGTTTTCTTCTCGAATGAATCTCATTTTGGATTACCGCCAGATAAAGGAAGAACAAGAGTATGGAGATGGTCTGGACTGCGTTCAGTAGTGACATCTACCTAGTCTGTTAAGTTTTACCTCATCCATAAAGCACCGTTTGAAGGTAGTTGAGAGTGCATCTAAAACTAGCATTTGGAACGACACATCCTAAAATTGATTTGACACAACCTCTTGTAAACTCTGTCCTGGAAATGTAGAATGCCTAGCAAAGGCGCAGGAAGTTCACAGTGACTAGTGATTGCTTGGAGTGGTATTATCATCGGCGAAAAGCTATACATAGCTGATTTATTTGGAACGATATTTAAATGCTGTTGATTATTGTAATATTATTATTTAGTCCATTGTGCTTTCATATGCAAAGAGAATTTGAGAAAATTATCAACTCATGCACGAAAATGCCCGTCCACATAATTGGCGATGGTTGTACAATGGTCTGTAGAATACCCCGACTTAAACCTATTTTACACGTATGGGAGTATGCTAAGTAGGTACATCTTAACGCAAAATGGGTTGGTTTAAGCAAGAGTTGTTCAGTTTTTTTAGTGTCTTAGGGAACAATGGAATGCAATAGACCAATAAAAGATAGAAAAATTTTTTTTTTCAGCATATCAAACAAATGTAGAGCACATGAGCTGGTGAATCGCAATTAACATTTTTTTGGTAAGAAATTTATCCAACGTTTCCAACTGACGGACAATGTATATGGTACAAAATTCTACATAAAAAAAAGAAAACTTGGATAGAAACTTTTCCAACAGTATGTCTTCGTTTTACCAAACATTTTAAAATTGATTTGTATTTCACTAAATTTAACTTTCATATTATTACGGGCCTCTAACAAATTTATAATTTTTTTTTACTCCTTTCTAGCTTATTGAAAACAACTTAACATTAATGTGTTTCTTGTAACAAGTTTTCTATCGATTTAGGAAATTACTTACCACACCATCTCATTTACAGACGAAAAACTGTAAACCTTTTTTCCATTAATTGTGATGGTATTTGTGTTTAAAATATTATTACACAATAATAAAACTGAGCACAAGCTAAAAATTGTACTGATGCCAGAATTCTCACGTCTTATAAAACACAGGTGAAATAATGTTGCTTTATGTTAGATGTCATTCTACGAAAAATAATTACCACAAATCAATCATGAAGTTTCTTCCCAGTGCTGTTAAAACATAATTTATTTCAATTTAAATATTATAAGTAGGCTTAATAGATATCCCAATCGACGTCTAGTCTTGACACATTAGATATGCGTGTAGGGGTAGGTATATTAGACCTACAATTTGGTGTCTCGTTAGAAACTAACTGCGTTTTGTAAGGTAACGGTTCCAATAATAGTATATTCAGTATCTGATTAGCATTAAAGGGTGTCAATAGATAACAATCAATTTTAAATTCAGATTTTAAAAGCAGCAGACGAACATTAAATTTGACATGTATAAATTATTAATGATATGTTAAATGTCTGTCACCCAGTTTTTGAAATGGGGGTTTGTCGGAATACTAACCATGCCTATTAGTCTCATCAACAGGCTAATAACTAATGTGATGATTTTGATTTAAACTGTGCCGAAATATAAACAACTACCGGGCAATAATATTTGAATTTCAAATTTTTGATTTCTTGGAGGTGACTTATCTATTTTTAATCTTAACCTCAGACTATTTTACGCTTTTATATTTATATATTCTAATATTTTTTCCATTTGCTAATGATTTAGATTTGACAATGATGATATGTTTTAAATGTAACTGATCTATATCATCCATACATATGTATTAAGGAAGTATGAGGCATTCTTATTTTAAGTTACAACGATCACGACCTTTATGCTCTTTTATATTTAATTTTACTTAATTATATTCTGTAGTAGCCTGATATTATCTGATCTGTGATTTATTGAAAATACGACATGTATATATTTTTATAATCGCGTAAGTACTTAAATTTTGACTAAATTATTCCAATGACCTTTTGCTACATTTTCAATGATAAGAGGCTACTTTTGTATTATGTATTATCTAAAATGTTTCTAATTTTATTTTACATAAAGGTTTTATAGATTTTTTCATAAAAAACTAATATTCTGAGGTATCATACAGAAGAAAAATATACGATGTGTATATCTAACTTTTGTTGTGCAGGATAGTTGTTTTTTTGGGAAATGGATATGAAGGAGAGGTGTTCAAAAATGGCCAGCATGATCTCCAAATCTAACGTCCCTTGATTTTTCCTCTTGGGTTATTTAAAACTTCGTACACGTCTTTTTTAGGAATTAATTAATAACCTCCTTTCATTTTATTTTATTTTATTTTACTAATTTCTTGTAAAATACATTTATGTACTTCCGTAATTAATTGAAACAGTGAAAAAATAAAAAAACTGTTTTAAATATGGGTGCTGTCATGTTACAAATATAAGCTGTATTCTCATTTATTAAATGTAGAAGATTTGTATATAATTACTGAAAAGTCTAAACTAGATTGTCCTTAATTAAACCATATAAATTACCTAAAACTAAATAAGAAAGAACTAAAGGGAATGTATGTTTTGTACGATCGTAAAAGGTCTGTTATAAATTGAAAACGTCTATGATATGGCGTAGTTTAAATAAATAAACAAAAAATAAATAAACAAGTAGACAGAATCCTCACCACCTACATAATATCGCAATTGAGACACATGCGACCTTGCTGCCCAGACGATGAGCAATTTACAATTGCATTTAGATAGATCTTAGGAACACACGAGCTGATTCCATCATTGATATTCGCGAAATGAGTACCTGACATGCGGTTTCTAATTGTTATTCATTAAACAATATATTTGTGGTTCTATCTCAGTAACGGATGTAAGGTTTCCATTTTTTTGGTAGAAGGATATGACTTTTTATGCCCTTTAAAATAATGTGTCATAAGATAAATGTATGAATAAATAGTGCCATTTGAAATTCCAAACTTTATGTGGTTGCGAGGGAAGGAGCAGAAGATAAAATTCAATGAACACTGGTTTCGAACTACCCTCTTGGAAATCGTGTCTTCAGATCCAGGGTTATCCTAGGTGGCTAGTTTTGAAATGAAATCACTGTATACAACATAATGCATAGTGCACACTTTCAAGTTAATTAACTATTCCCTTGTCGTATATTGGGGTTCTGTTTTCATTAGATTTAAAGATTGGATATTTATGTGATTTTAATGTCTTGTGTTATTGTAATTATGCACATCACACCGATGTTGAAACATTTGTTGATAAAATATGTTGGCAGCAAATTGGTGTAAAGTTTAAATAAAAATATTAGTGTCCTGTATTTAATAATATCTTTTAGAGAAAATCAGTTTATCTTGCATTGTATAGTGTTTATGTTTGTGTAAATCTTAAAATGAATCTTGTACATCTATTTTAAGCACAGATTTTGGTCGCATAGATCCAGCCTCATCTTGTCACTGACCTACCGAGAGAAAAAATTTGAGTGGTACCAAGAATGGAATCCAGTCGAATGGATAATAGAATCGGATAATGTCCAGTCATGAATCCCGATCTATTCGTGGGCCCATAATGAGCGCAGAAGATTTCGCCGTTGTGTCGATGTGGAAAAAGTTTAGATATTCAGTTTTGCGTGTAACGGTAGACAGCACTTACCTGAAGGATTATGGTATGCGGTGCAATATTATATGGAAGTAGGTTCCTTCTAGTCTTCCTGGAAAGGAACATAAATGCCCAAGTGTGAATTCAGGGGGATCATGGAACCCGTTGCGTTAGTGTGTCTTAACCGAGGAAAACCCCGGTTTTAGAAATTTAAAAATTCATACTCTTATAAAGAATTCTACAAAATTTAATCTCCCTTAGCCCACAAGTCACTACCTTCACCTATTAATACTCATCCCTAACTCAAAATCCTCATTGGAGTGTGGCACAACCGCACTATTAATTTAGACGTAGATATTTGAAGACTCCACTAATTTGGCCAGGAAGTCTGCCAGATTATTTAATAAGGAAACATTTCCAGGAAATCTGGATTTTGTTTCAATCGCTGCAATTAATTATATCTGCCAATAAACATACTAAGTGTTCCCCTTAGTACGATGTCGGCGTTATCCGCCATATTGATGAAATGGTGCCGAAATTTAATTTTTCGCAAATATCCTGAAATATTTACTTTTTGGCAGTAACATTTATTATCAATATTAATCCTCGTTAAATTCTACAAGAATGGTTCTTAATACTTTTCCTAAAATTAACCGTTTCGGAGATACAGTCACGCGAACTTCGACACTTTTACTCGACTATGCGAAAACAGTAGTTTTTACTCACAATACCAGTTTCGGTACGATATGCGTAATTTTTCGTTCTATGGAAGATAATGGTAAATAATTAATCACTCAATATTTAATACTCGTTTCCACACCACGTTGCGATAGAATATATGGCGCTCTTTTTTCAGTGGTGTCCCATGTAGGTCTACTCCACTGTACGAGTTTATTCTATTTTTTTTCGCTTCGATGATGAAGGCTGACTCTGTTGGTCATCCATAATAATGTCCACACTCTCACTCTGTTCTTCTGAAGTGAAGTGATCTTCTGTCTCCTGGTACATTAAACGCTTTAGTTGCATCCTTTTGAACATGTGCAGGATTTGTGTTCAGTGTGTAACTGAATCCTTGGCGGTGGTAATTGGAACGAAACTATATCTGGAGTTTCTCGATCCCTAGTCTCGTAGATGTTTTCGTTATTTCCATACCATTTTTGGACTTGATGGCATGTTCTTAGAGAATGCTGACGTACCGCTTTGCGAGTGCCTTGCAAGCTTACTTCCCGCTCGGACAACGGTACGTCAGCATTCAACCAAGTTTTCGTGTAAATAAAAATTTATCCTGGCTTGGAAAAAATTCTAGCTCCTCGACCGGGGCTCGAACCCGGGACTCTAGGGTGGGACGCAAGTGTCCTTACCACTCGATTACGAAGCCAATATAATTAAAGCGATTGAAACAAATTCCAGATTTCCTGGAATTATTGTCTTATTGGGCCTTTGTTTACTTCTTGCCGTCTGGTATATATATATAGAAAATCCTTTGCCATTTATAAATTAAAACAGCACTACTAAGGATCTTTTTTTTTAATCATATACTTTCTTTTTTTTTTTCATTTTCTTACCTAAAATTAATTACATTTTATTGATTATCCACTTTCATTTCCTTTGGTGGTTAAATGGTTAGTGGTCATTAATTAATTTTACTATTTACCTACTTCCCCCAATTTTATGGTTAATTTACTTATATGTGCGAATGTGGCCACTGTTACAGCTTCGTATTAAATTTGGTCGAAGTGATTCTGCACTATACTGAATTATGTTAGGGATTTTATTCTTTAGAAATTCAGCAGTTCCGAAAATGTCAGGATCAGTTTCGAGACAATAGATGCTGAAAAATGTTGCATTTTTGGTGATTTAGTGAAAAGTATTTTATTTGGAAGCATGTGGGTGATAACTAATTACTATATTGATATTTTTGGATTTGAATTAGAAAATAGTGTATGGCACATCATTAATAAATTTAACAGAGGGGTAATATATATATTGAGATTTTACTATTCAAAATTTAATACATAAATACGCCAGAAAGGACGTTTTTGAATCTATCTACGGAAAACGAATATTTGGATGGCCCTTATTAACACGACAAAAACATATTTTTTTTGAAATTTGGATTGCTCACTCTTATTTTGTTACATTCAGTAAATAGCTATTTATGACACAAGGACGAAACTTACAGTTTTTCGTGCGATTACGGAAAATTGCAACCGTATGAGTACAAAAAATATTTTAGTCCGTGTATCATACACTATTTTTTTCAAATGCAAAAAAGAAAATAATAAATTTTTATTTCTTACATTTATTTTAATTTTAACACTTGGGCTATCTTCCAAAAAAGATATAGCTATATTTACCTTCAAGTAAAACGCCTTAGGATTTTTTGTAAATTAATTTACGGTGACTTCAGCTTCAGACCATCTCACAAATTTCTCGGAAATTTTGTGCCTTTATTGGAAAATTTGGAATCAGGATTCTTTGTAAGAACAATAACAATTTTCTTTCTTGTCTCTGATGAAAGTTGTTAAAAAAGCTAGTCCAACTAGTTCTTCTGATAGATGATGGTTCAGAAATTTCTCTTTCACGACTTGAAATAACTGGTAATTTATTTTTCAATATTTCTAAATTTAAGCAAATCTGTGCAGGAACAGGGCAGTTTTAGAAGGTAAAAAACATGGTTTAATGTACATGCAAATTGTAAACATACCTCTCAAACACATTTAGTTTAAACTGTTGTTTGAACGTCATATTTTAAATCAATAAATGGCTTTTGTGGTGGGCAGTATTAATCGAAGAGGTATCAAAACACACGAGACTGACTGTCAAAAATTCTCCATTTGATCTATTACATCTGTAGGTTTAATGCCTGGTAAGATTATCCCTTTAGAAAATTTCTTACTTTTACCATCGGTTTTCATGATGGCGTTTCTGTAAAATATTTTCGATGTCACATCTTTTACATATTAAACGTAAATTTCTGTCTTCTCCAACCATAGCATCTCTACGGCCAAATTCTTATTGTGAGTTAATGAAAATAGTGATTACAGCATGTGCAATATATCGGCTGGTGTATAAACTTTAAGCTCGTCGCATGACCTTTTAGTTTCTGTTTTGAAAAAACTGGGCCAGGGTTTCCTTTTTTCAGACTAGTAATGTTTGAATAAGGTGAGAGGTTAAAATTTCAAAAGATAGAAAATAAGGGCCACTCTAATGAATATGTATGTACCTACCTCATATTCTAATCAACATTCCTATTAAATGAAGTTCATAATTCCTTCATTAAGAGTCAAATCTAAAAACTCTAGAAAAAGTTTGATTTAGAAGATATATTAAAATTTAAACTAATTTTAAACAGTTTAGAGTTAGCATTGACAGTAGGTATGTAAAATTGTAATTATATTAACTTTAACTGATTGTAAATTTGACCCTCTCAAGTGTTTGAAAATCAATGATACTCAACTGACCGTATACTTTCAAGAAACTGTTTGTTGACCCTCATTTATATGTTTTGCTTTGTAAATTATTGGACGTGGTCAGAAAAAAGGAGAATGTCAAATTTTAAATTGTCGACGTTTAATCTATATTTAAAGACCTCTTTAGGATTCTGACGACAATAAAAATATTACAAAACGACGTGGTAAAGAGCAGGTATACTCTTCCTAAATAATTCCCACTATTTGTTCGGTGATTTGTCGTATGATGTCAGTTGATCTGTAGTATTTAGCGAAACATGCTCATCTATATGTCATTTAATCAACATCATCCTAAAAGCAAGTTACATTTAGTCGAAAATGGGATTTGGAATTGCAAAGTAAGTGAGACTTAAAATTTCCTTTCATGATATCATATAATGCTATAAAGGCGTTGGGAATAATTTGTCGTAGGGTAGGTAATTTTAAAGCACTCGCATCGTAGATATATATTAAACTGTGGGTTCTGCACAGTTTAATATCTCTTTTGAAAGATGAAGCGTGCAGCTTCGCTCATCCATTACATCTCATTAACTTTGTCCGGTCTGAATATAGACGGAAGGACTCAGCGGTCACTGTCCTTCCCATTTTCTAACCAAAGAATTATTAACATTTAAACGCAATATTGAAGAAAAAAATGGGAAGTTACCAAAAAGAATTCCATTATTTTGTAAACCAAATTTATCCCTGTATGAAAATACACATTTATTATATTAATCTAGCATGCAACGAAAAACACTTAACAATTCAGTATTACAACATTTTGTTTGCCTCTGATAAAAGTACTTTAGGAATTGGGGACCTGTAAACGTAAAATCAGTGACTAAAGTTAATGTAATGGAAGCGTTTGTCTTGCTGCTTGGTTTTCCTGTTTCGGAATAATTTTTATGTTGTCATCGTAACATTTAACACTTAACTGACAATGCCACAAATACGCACCATTAAACACGTGTCACAAGTACTTACCAAATGACAGATTTTAAAGGTGCCGTGATAACAAAAGCTTTTAAATGAGAATAAATGTTAAAAAAACCGATGCTGTGGTAAACTATGATCGCTGAAAAATAGTTTTAAAAAGAAATAATTAGAAAATAAATATATTTACAATGACTGTATTATTTTGGGGTTTATTATTTATTGGCATGTTTTTACCTATAAAATAATAGTAAATAAGAAATTGTTTTATTTATAATTAATTATACAGGTAGTTCCACGAAGAACTTGGACTACTTATTTTAATCTATAATAGAAAATATGTAGATATCGACGCATAAACATGTTTTTAAATGAAGTCATTCTCGGCAGTATAGTGCTCCATTCTATTATGTCTATTCCGCCGATATTAATTGCAAAGTCAATTTTAAGATTGGCCTGAGAGAATGGTACTTAATGGAGTGACCAACTGACTCACCGGATTTAACATCCTTTGATTTATCTTATAAGATTATTTGAAATTTATTATTTATAAGACCGAACCAGTCAGAGATACTTTCATAAATGTAAGATAGGAGTTTGAGGAAAATAATAAACATCTTGGAAAATATTATAACATTAATCAATAGTTTAATTAGCAGGTTTCATACGGCATCTTTTAAATTTTTTTACAATTATTAGATCGAATTTAACGAGGAGAAAGGTATTTAAAGAACTTAATTTATACATGGGACATATAGGTTTTAAAATTAGAGTGGCAGGAGTGAGAGGGGTGAGTCGATTTATAAAGATTTTTATATTATCTTATACCCCCCCTTTATACCTAGCCTTTAGGCCTAACGTCTATCAACTTTCGTTTGAAAATTTTCAGAAGGGGAATTCTTCATATTGACACACTGTTTATAAAAAATCAATGAACAATTTAAATTATAATTATATCTAATCTTAATAGTTAATTGACTCAATCTTCATTTAATGAAAGTCCATGTTATACTTAACACAAAACAAAAATTTTTCACATTTTTTTACATTCTTATACTTAACATAAAGAAGTATAGTAATAACTTTCTTATACTAGTATATATCATCCTGATCTAAAAAAATCATTCAATTTAATTCTTCACTTACCTCAATTAAATTTTAATAGCGTACCTTGATATGTTTCATTAAAATTTTTAAATAATTATTTATCAACATTCCTCGATACTGTCAATAATAATTATATCATATATATTAATAACGTCTTCTTATTAGCATTGCAACTAAATTAGACATTTCAAATGCCAAACTGATAAATATATTGTAGCTCCATTTTATGAGGAAAAAAAAAAATTTTTTCAGAATATATTTTTTGTAAAGACAAATACAAAAAAGTTTGGATCTAGTGGAACTCCTTTCAGTTGGCCAATATTGCTCATCACTGAATTTATCATTGTCTTTGGCCTTTCGAACATGTGTAACAAATTTGAAAGTTTTTAAAAACTATGGCTGCTATTGCGATTTTATAGAATTGCAGACAGGTTTTTTCCATAAAGTTATATTTTTTCATTATAATTCGTCGAGATTCGTCCAGAAATACAATAATAAATTTTTTATTTTTTCCCGAAATTGTACCTTTTTTCTTCTTTTATTCATTATGTGTCTTCTGGTGGTACCACATTCACCAAATTTGATGTGTCACCTAAAATGCTGTTGAAAATCTTAATTGCCAAATTTGGGAAGTCTCCCATTAGTATTTCTTGAATTATCGCGGCCACACACATACACAAATACAGCCACACACCCCCACACAAATCCACACACACACACACGCACACGAACCGACAGACATCATTCGAAAAATAGTCAGAATGGATTCAGAAGGGTTTAAAATATATATATATATATATATATATATATATATATATATATATATATATATATATATATATATATATATATATATATATATATATATATATATATATATATATAT